CATATTACATTGCTTTGGTATAACTATAAGTTGATTGTACAAAGATTCTATGGACAAATTGTAATGTGTTTGGAAAGCATAACTAATAGTGTGAAAAATGTGTCCGCAATGTCATTCTTCGGTTATCTGCTTCATATGCTGCCAATCCCCATACTGTTTATAGAAAATGGGTGCTTTTTAAACCTGCTATTGACAGACAAAAATGCCTGAACATGTACAGGAGCGTTTTCTAGAAGATGTTCATTGCTAGCCCTTTTTAATGAGGGCAGTCTGGCTGCTAGATTTGCTTGAACTAGCAAAAATGATTAGGTGGATGCCAAGCAATTTCATAATCATTTAAAGGGTGTGGGCACATTAATCTGACATGTTGATATTTGATATGTCTGTAAGGCTTACATTAAGCATATGACAAAACAAATTCATCACCTAATGTATGATGACCTGCTTGAAGGAGAAGAAATTATTCAGGTACGATCTCCTGATAATCTTTAGAGGTAAGCTTCCTTGCACAATTAACTTTCCCCACTGCTAATGCTGCATTACAAATCCCAGCACAGTTGCGTAGCTTGTAAAGTAAGCCTTTGTATCATGATGACTTTGTACTAGGACTTTTCTGTACTGTATCCCATAATAATTCTTCAGAATGGAACATTCTCGCTGCAATTTATAATGTAATGTTTATATTGCACATATTCTGTAATAGAAGTGACCTTTTCAGGTTGGTGATCTGAGTTTAAGGTTAATTCCTTCCATCCAGCAGAATGTGAAACCTTTTATTTTGTATAAATAGTGAGCATTCAAGCTGATTTTCTGCACACTGCACTTTAGAATGGCAGAAATGTAAAATGACTCACTAAAAATATTAATATTTCATGAACTGGGCTTATGGCGAAGGATTGGATCATGTGACAGGATGGGCCGTGTGGGATGTGGCAGTTCAAATATTAGATTATAATTTTTGTTTCATTACCAATATTTAATGTCTAATATAACCGACAACAATGCTCCTAAAATATCAAGCTTTCCTACATTCTTTTTCTACTTTTACGTCAGATTACCTTGTAAAATATGCTGAAGAAAGTGGAACTACACATTTTTTTTTGAAGGGGAAAAGGCTTAAAAGCCACGTTTTATATCACGTGAAACATGGTCCAACTCGCTCCCAAGTTACCTGAATTGCGGAGTTTTTCTGCGCCCAGGGTGCTCTAATGTTTTTACTTTGGCGTGGCTGTGCATGGCTCCACCCAGTCCTTCGACAGGATCTGTGAATGAAGAGACTACAAGACCACGGCATAACGGCTCAGCATAGAGTGTGTAGAGCAGAGCAAAGAACGTCCATTCTTTGCTCTGCTCTGTGTGATCAGTGAGACCGTGGCGCTGTAATCACAGCACCACCTGTCTCAGCTGTCAGGAACTGCATAGAACATCTGTTGGAGGGCAGGTTCCATAAAGAGAACCTGTCCCCTCCAAATTATTTAATGTAAGCCCCTATGTGATAGTAGTAAAATTAAGTGACAAAAATAACAATTTCAAAAAGTTATAAAACAGTAAAGAATTGTGTGTGGTGCTGCCGCCATTCCACTGTGTGCCATATTGTGGTAGCCAGGCAGCAGAACTCTCTTACCCTTTAATGTACATTGCGTGTGTAAGTCCACTTTCCCAGATAATATGGGAAAATAGAATTACCCGATGAAATCTGGCCCCCGTCTCTCCCAACCCCCCGCTATACTTACCTTTCGGCGGACAGTCCTTCCCCCTCCGCCAGTACAGGTTTACTATCTGTACCCCCTACTGCTGTCCAGCGCAGTCCTGCCCTATGCATTTTCAATTACACTCGCAAATTGCAAGCCTTCATTGGTCAGCGCTGACCAGTGAGAAGCGCTATTTAGCACAGTCAAATACGGTTTTGATTAGGGATGTACCGTTACTAGTATCGGTGCCAATATGCTTGCTCAAATGCTTATACTCGCCCAAATGCTCCGATAACTTCCCTGACACCAGAACTTCCAGTCGGAGGAAGATTTCCTCTGACCGGCAGTGCCGTAGGGGAACATAGGGCCAGCTTCCTGGGCAATCAGGAAGCCGGGTGGCGAGTAATGACCCACCTCTTGGTTTCCTTATTGGCTGGGAAGCCAGCTCCTTGCTGATTTGGCCGGGAAGCAAGCTTCCCGGCCAATCGGGTCATAACTCACCGCCCCGCTTCCTGATTGGCGCGGAAGCTGGCTCGATGCTGATTGGCTGGGAATCCGGTTTCCCGTGCCAATCACAATCAAGCAGGCCAAACAACATGCAGACGGATTCCCTGGCAATCAGGAAGCAGGCCAGCATGCCATTTACCCGCTGCAAAATATCGGTAATCATACTCAATGCAGAAAAAACGGTATTGGTGCATCCCTAGTTTTGATTAAAACTATTTTCTATTGGGACAAGTAGATTGGGCCCCCTCTTCACCCTTGGACAAGTAGTTTTTTTAAAAAAATCCACACCCGTGACCTAACCCTGCAGATCTTTACTGTGTGGCCTTGCCTGGCATCTCACAGCCGGTTGCTGTAATGGTGCCACCTGCCTATGCACCACCTGCTCCTATGGATTGTTCTTTTAAATTCTGTTGTTTTTTTTTTTTAGCAATATAGTTTTATTGAAAGATTTTGAGCATAGTTGCAGTAAATTCTGTTTTAAGGGCTAGTTCACACCAGATGCATTTGTGATGCAGTCCGTTCAGTTTGGCAGCTACTTCCAAAATTCATCACAATGCTTTCCTATGGGATTTCTGGTGCTCTGTTCACACCAGTGCGGTCAGAAAAAAAAGCACTGGTTGCTCTTTTTTAGCCGCATCAAAAGCGCATTGCAAACGCACTGGAACGCACCTGAAATCCCATTTTAAGCCCCCCCCCCCCAAAAAAAAACCTGTCAATCGCTGTAAAATTAGAAAATGCATCACACTCCAGATGTGCAGTTCTGGTGTGAACTTGCCCTCAGTTTTTTGCTCTGTGTCTTGGACAGGGGGATTTCCTCACAGTTGGGGGACAGTGAGACAGTTGCCCATTTTTCCGGATTCCCAGTAGCTTTTAGAATCAGACAGTGGTCATTTATTTTAGTTTGCTATTCTATACATCCATTTTAAATGAGTCATTCAAGAAATGGCCACAGTTTTTTGTTTTGTTTTTTTGGGGGGGCGGGGGGTGTGTGTTGTGTGTCTGTATGTCTGTGTAAAATAAAATAAAAATTTATATAGGAAAATGTACTGCAGAGGAGAGAAAGTGCAGCCTACAGAAATGGCTTGCTTGTCATTGGGACAGGAAGTTTGGGGAAATGTCTCCAGCGGGGATACGCACAGTAACAACATGACAAAGAGCCCAGTCCCCTACTCTGTTCAAAACAAAGCGGAAAGCAAACATTTTGACTGGAGTTTCTTAACCTGTTCTTAAATTAAATTCATGTCTGTGACGTGTTTGATGGAAACTACTATTGTTTCCAACTAGCTGTTCACCTTCATTGTGCATTGGAGGAAGCAAGTTTGTCCTTTTGGACAATGGCAGCTTTTAAATTCTCAGACAGGTATGTAATTTGAATATTCAACTTAGCACTTGTATGTTACATACGTATGGGAGAAAGGACATGTTTGTACATCATGTACCGAGTGTGTTCTGGTGCCTCTGCGAAAATACAATCGATAGTTAACCTTGAGCTCTAAGATTAACATTTGCCTCACATTCTTTCCATTTTCATCCCTCAAGCAACTGTCTGCGAGATTAACGATTTACCAACTCTGTTTATCAGACCTTAAAGTGTATTTCTACCTTCACAGCCAAATTGGGGAGAACACCTAATTTATATTTGTTGCATGTTCCCATTCACATTGCATAACTTTTAAAAAAATAGCTGCTTACATTTTTACTTCCTCAAAAAGTGGCGTTAGGTTTACCATTTTTAACCCTTTGTACTGTACTGGTAAAGCTCATTATCAGAAACTAGATGTGCACATTGTCTGTGCCAACAAAAGGTAAAAGATCTCAATGCTTGGGTGGTACATTGTATGTTAACATACTTCAAAAAAACTTTCCCACAAGTCTGTCCCCTCATAGCACGTTATTCTAAACCATAGAGGCTGCCTGTAGAGTCCTTTGTATTTGCAAAGAAAGAAACACAAAAATAAATGTGTAAGAATTTGTTTATAAATAAAGACTATTTGGGTAAGCTGTGGGAGTGGTAGAGCCAGTCCTCCTGTACCGGGCCCAATCAGTTCAGCAGGGAAGCCCAGGGACAGAGTCTTTACTGGGTTACCTAATGCACAACAGCAGGTGGAGTAATCCCATTCACAGATGACAAATTTGAAAACGGTCCCCTCTCTCCCTGGGCCCCCTGCTGAACTGATGGAGCCCAAGGAGAAAGGGGACTATTTTACCACTGTAGACTGGAGTAACATCAGGAGCTCTAGCTAGCGATAATTTAAATTATAGTGCCGACCTGCACAGGGCCGCACCATCGTGACAGATATCAATCCGCCCCAGCGTGGGGCAGCTCTGTGCAGGCTGACACTATATAGGCTGTGGTTTAAAAAGTGGTGAAATATTCTCTTCTCTCCCCAGGCCCCTGCTGCACTGATAGGGCCCGGTAAAAGAGCAGACTATTTCACCAGCAGAGTAACTATTGCACTTTCAGTAATATTGGAAGCTGCAGCTCCCGATAACTAAAGAAAATCCAGGCAGAATAAAACTTAACCCTTGCAGTGCAAGGACAGCCCCACTGCAAATGTTAAGTGACTGTTTTGGTCTAGGGCAGGCGTCCCTAAATGGCAGACCATGGTCCAGACACGGAGCACGTGAAAGTTCTAGACCAAAATGAGCCCTTAACCCTTGCAGTGTGAGGATAGCCCTACTGCAAGGGTTAATTTATAATTAGCCTGGAGTTCTTTAAGCTATAACTGGACTGTGTTTTACTGTTATATATATATGCATAAAATTATTAGTTTTCTCCTTTTTTTTTTTTTTGCACTACAGGTAATAATAAATAGCACAATCACACCCAACATGACTTTTACAAAGACATCACAGAAGTTTGGCCAGTGGGCTGACAGCAGAGCGAACACAGTTTTTGGACTGGGATTTGGATCAGAGCAACAGCTTTCTAAAGTAAGTAAAGTACATTGGTATTTTTAATATTATTTCTAAGCACACCCTTGGATTTTCAACCACATTTCCATAATCCTTCTTTTAGTTACCAGTTCACTTTACTGCAATAATGCCCTTCTTTCTCATATAGTGTATCACAGGTCATTCTAGAAGGTTTCAGTTCTAGGATTGACCATAAAGCATTGTTCTAATAACTGTAAGCATGTGTGCATGCTCCATACTAAGAAATTATTTGCAGATGAACTGTTTTGTATAATTAGGTTTCACTTTGTCACTGTTTTGCTACCTGTCTTTTCTTTATCATTGAGGGACACACTAAGATTAGGCATTTGGGTTATACTGCGGCCTTAAGGAGATTTGGACACTGGCAAACAGAGAATGTTAAAACATGCTCCAGTATAACCCTGATTCTAACCATCCTGCCTCAGTTTTTACTAGTGTCCTAGGTGGTTGGATGCCTTTACCTCAGCTCTGTTGGGAAAAATTCTAACTTTTATTTTTTTATTTTTTTTATTCTGTCATTCTTCAATCTGGATTCTATGTACACCAAAGGTATTTTTTTCCATGGTCACTTTAATCAAGACTTTAAAACTTCTGCATGAGCTATTCCCTACATGGTGTGTCCTCCGCAACCAGAACCTTGCTGAACAAAGAATTGTGGGGTTAACCTGGAATGTGTCCTTCATAGCCCCAAAAGTGGGTCGCGACACCCTCTGCAGTGGGTCGCGGCGTCATGTCTGCATAGACCGGCCCATCTGCATTAGAGAGAACTGGAGGGGGAATTTGTGGTTCAGCCTGTGGAACCTCATAATATCAAACTGTCCCCTCTCTCCCGGCCTCCCCCGGGCTCTCCGATAAAGTGGTACGGCCCGGGGAGAGAGGGAATATGCTAATGCAGCCCTCCCCCAGCTTCTGCACTGACAGGGAACTTTATGACAGGGGACACCGATGGTCATTATGTATTCCAAGCCCACATAATATCCAATAGTGTCCCCTGTCGTAATGTCCCCTGTCAATGCAGAAGCTTCGGGGGGGCATTAGCAGGGGGCTCCGCTGCAATTGTTTTACCTGCAGCAGAGCATATGCTAATGCAGCCCTCCCCCAGCTTCTGCACTGACAGGGGACATTAGGACAGGGTACATTGATGGACATTATGTATTCCGAGCCCACATAATGTCCATCAGTATCAGTGCAAAGATTGCAAGGCTTTAAATAAACTTTGTTCCAGATTCCTAGCTTTTTTTTTTTTTTGCTTTTTTCACTCTGTCCTTTTCAAACTGATTCCTGAATGGGAGGTTTCTGGTTCAGTATAACCACTTCTATCTTCCATTTTGTATCTAACCGCTTGCAGGAAATTATTTTTCTGGGAGTATTCCGTATAAAGTGTACAGAACGCCTACATGTTACCATATTGCATTGAATTCTTCGAACAGTTTTAGATAATTATAGCAGTTTAAGATTAAAATAGAACGCTAAATTACAAAATAGCTTGTGTTGCAGAATATAGCATCATGATGGGTAGTGGCGCCTTTTTGTTGTTGTTGTTTTTTTATTTTTTTACATACTTCAAGGTGTAACATGCAATTCATTTCCAAAGAAAAATCAATTGTGCCTGTGCTGTAGGATACATTTGAGATATTTAATTCAACATTTGAATATAAAAAGGTTAAATAGCAATATGACAGCATACATTTTTATGATAATTTGTCTTAAGGGCTTATTCACACCAGCCTGGCCTGCTGAAGTGCAATGAATACATGCATGTTAACATGCACAGCCTCAGGGCAGCCCATTTATTTGAATAGACTACCTCATGCACCACAATAAACCAAAAATCGTGCAGCATTTTATTTGCGGCAACATGGGTGCACTGGAAAGGTACATTGGAATGCCATTCAAAATGAATGGCCCCACAGATCACCACTGTGGATATTGCAGGTAGCCTGTAGGGACACTGGTGTAAATCAGCCCTTAGTTGCGCCACAGAAAAGTTATGACAGGTGTAGCATAACAGAGTAAGACACCAACAGATACAGGTACATAAGAACCCAGGTTGTTTGTGCCAACAATCTGCTCTTTATTATGCATTTTATACGCTCATACAAATGGATTTCTTCTCCATCTTTTTCAATGTCTCATAATTTGCAGAACCTGTAATCATTTGCTCCTTTTCTTGTAAGTTTTTAACATATCATCGGAACAATTAGTAATTTTAATTAATAGTTTAAATAGGACAGTGAGGACTACGTATGAAATACAAGCTCTAAAGGGAGGAAAAAAAGCACCTAAAATAGTCTGGGTGGATTATGACGATTGTAGCTTGGAAATAACACCAAGTAATTCCCATAGCAACCTCCTACTTGACAGAACATCTCACATACGTCCTCCTACATTCATTAAAAGCCGCTTGTCTTATTTATTCCCAGACACTTTCTATGTGTTTATGGCATGTGCTGTGTTCTGTTTCCTGATCTACGCTTTTTTTCCCCACAGTAGATATAATTTCCCAGGTAGAGGAAATGGAAATATTCCATTTTGAAAATATTTTAAAAAATATGCAGATGAACCCAGACACTTTTACCTACTTTGTCTAATGCAACGATCAACAGATAAATATCTACGTTGCGCTTAAATTCCACTATTTATAGAAAGTACCTGAACTTAAATTGTATGTGAATGCAAAATATTTTTTTTTTAAATGGGGTAGATCTCTGCAGTACATGCACATTTCCCCTTATTTTATCTCCTTTTATAAAACCCGCAATTACAGACAAATTTTGTTTTTTCTGAAATGCACTCCGCTCCTAATTCCTGTTGTTGGCTGACAACACACAGAGGAGGATTTGTCAGAACTGGAGCAGACAATATCTGGTGCAGCTGCGCATGACAACCAGTCAACTTTTCTCTTCAGCTTCTTCACTTGAGGTTTGAAAATGAAAGAGAGAAGCGGATTGGTTGCCATGCACAACTGCTCCAGATTTTGTCTGCTCCAGTTTTGATAAATCCCCCTCACAGATTTTTAGTCTTTTGCTAAACTACTGAATCACATCTCATCTCATCTTTTACCTATAAACACTGCGAGGGCTAATCAGTATAAAACTTTCAATAATTACCAGACCAAAAGGGGCCAAATTGGAGACGTTCATTGTGGGGTTTACATACATGTTGTTGGTTCTGCTTCTTGCTCCTAATCCTTTTGACCTTTATTACAATAATTCTGTCACTTCACTGAGTGTTTGATACTCCCACTTCTGGTAAACTTCTTGGAGATTCAGTTTAGTAGAAGGGGAAAATATAAGACCTCACCAAGAGCATGACAAGCCATCACAAGAAGTCAAACGTTTGCAAGTGTAATAAAAATATCTTAAATATATATTTATACTTTATCAAGTGATCATATTTTTTTTATAGGCGGCCATGCCTGGAGTGACGTGAAGGACACTTTTTTTTTTTTTAATATGAATTTCAGAGGGCCAACCAAGTTAGTCAGTCCTGTGTGGATAACATGCACATAAATTACAGCATATATAGATTAGGGATTCACAGATACTTTTCGAGTACCAGTGCAGATACTTGGCATTTTCATGAACTACCAGGGTTGCAGCGGTTACAGCTGGGACCCGGCTCTGGCACTCCACCACTGTTCTGAAATCATTAGTCTGTATTGTTTTAGAAAAACTGTCACATGACAATAAACAAAAATGTATCAGTACTCGTACTTGTAAGTACTCGGCAAGTACCAGTACTCGTACTCGCAAAACTGGTATCTGTGCATCCCTTTATTTATATTTATAAAAACAAAATCATACATTAAAACAGATGTACAAATCCCAGGAGCTCCGTGTGCTCCTTACAAATTACAGCTACCTCCTAATTTGTGAATGTTTCTCTAGTGTAGTCTTGGAGCTCAAAAGTATCGGTACATGTACTCGTACTTGTACCGAGTACTGTACTTATTATCTGTGCAACCCTACTATAGATTATACATTTTCTCCACTACTATAAAAAGTGACAACAAATGGTACCATTGCCCTTTATTTAGGAACGTTTAGTTTAGTTATTAACTATTAAAATGCAAAGAAATACTTTTCTCTTTTTTTTTTTTTTGTGTGGCTTAGGGTTGGGAGGGATTTTGGGTTGTTGCTTCTCAACTTCTTTAGTTGAGACCCTTAGGGGGAAGAATAGTTTTAATACTAATGGGAAATTTATGGTGGTTGTTTTAGAAAGAAGTTATGAATATTTTTCTCTTCTGTTTTTGATTGGATTTCTTCCTGGCAGAGTCTTTTAACAGAACAAATTCGCTTCTGCATACATGTATAAATAAATGCTCTCGAAGGGTAAATTTCCACTGGAGTATCAGCATCTTTGATTGTTTTGTGCGCTTAGTTTGGAAGTTTGTATTTGGGTTTTTTTTTGCTCATTTTCAGGCTTGAGTGTTTTTTTGTTTTAGTCAATGAAAAGCTAGTTACTAGAAGAAGACGGTTGTTGCATGTAAAATCGTGTCTTTTAGGCACTCCTCTTGAAGTCTGTTGGAACCAAAAATGTGCGGCCATTCCCTCTCAGAAGATCCTGTACTTCTACTGAGCACTGACGAACAGTACGTAGCTCAATAGAATAACATGAGAATTTGAGTATCGAGTGTTGACGTGTTTCTGAAAACTGGCACTTCAAATCATTCTGGTGTGAATGGGATCTTAAGGTTTTTTTCAACAGAAAGATGTCTGAAAGCTGGTGGTTCCAGTTTTGACCAGCTGTTGCAGGTATTAGCAGATTGTCCTAGTGCCCCATTAAACCACATCAACCAGAATCTAAAATATCAGTTTTGTGCAGATTGACACTTTGGGAAGAGAGGCTCCTTCTGAAAATGCTGGTTGCGTGAATATCCTGTCGATCCAATAGCTTCAGTACCTTCTGAGTACACTTCACTATGAATTCCTAAGCGTTGTGCTTGTTCCAGCATAGGGTGTCAAAGTTTTAGAACATTAGAACTAGAATTCTGAGAAGGTTAACTATGGAACCCCCTTATATTTTCTCCAGTACAGGTTTCCTTTATCTGTCCCTAAGCTGTTTCAAAATCCCAGACCACACACCAGTTCCAGGGCGGTCATTTCACTCACAGTGAAGCTGAAATAGACAGTTGTCTTTTATAAGGTGTGCGTTGGTAAATGGCTGCTTCCATTTGATGTTTTGTACAGGTTCCTTTTATTAATCCACAGAACTCATCATGTAGGCCTAGAATGTTTTTGGTTTTCAAGTGCTATTCTGTGGTGCCATTTACGTGCACATAACTTCATGCGGAAAAGCTGGCTCTGTGTACCAAATAAACTATTTGCTCACAATCTTTCTCCTCTTTCTGGTCACAATCACTTTATCTGTTTTATCTTCTGTCATTGTGCTCTTCTCTTTGCTGTCACTGCTTAGTGCTGAGTGTTTTGAAGCTAGAGAAGAAAAATTCTATAAGACTATGACCCACATTTCTCGTATTGTTCCTTATTATTGCAGCTGCAGGAAAGCATTATTTCTAAATAGTCTCCACAGAGCTGAGGATGAATACATAAGTGTCTTTTCTGTAAGGATTACTAGGTATGAAGGCCGTAGGCTAGATGAAGATACATTGTTAGTTTAAGCTTTGAGGACTGTTAGCAGTGTGCAAAGTACCCCCTAGATCGCACTTCACATCAAACTGTCCCCCAAGTTATTTCTTTCTCCAGAATTGCAGTAAACTCTTGTGTGCTCTACCATGAGACGGTAATCTTAATTTAACATCTCTTTGTGTTCATTGCAGAAAAGATAGCATGTAAACATTCACTTCAATTGAGAATTGCTGTGTTGACTAGCAGGTAAAGGCTGACATTTTCTATAATTAATTCCAGCTTGTTAATAATTGCTAGAATGCTGGAAGAGGCAAGCGTTAACTGGACTGCATTTCCTTATCTTAGTTTTTACCATGGCAACCACTGCATCATAGAAAACTAATAGTGGTTTAAGACAACTAAACCCACTGCTCCGAATCCCTAAAAATAACTTAATTGTTTGTTTTAAGCACGTCTACACTGCAGGCTGTGCTTACATCACATACAGCTACGTGTCTAAGGCAGGTTTAGAGCTTTAGTTGCATGGTTGCAAGGCTTAAAATAATGCCTTTTTAAGGACTTCTATATGTCCCTAAAATATAACAGAATAAAAGAAATTGAGTTAAGATGTTAACTATGTTGTGCTTCTTATAATAATTGTTTTATAAAGAGCCCTTTCTTCACATACTGTTAAAGCTAACATGCACAAAGTAGTATGTGCGAGGGCAATCTTTGGGCCCACCCATAGTGTAAGATTGATAGAAAGGCGGATGCATGCAACTGGGCTTGTAAGTCCATGAGGGCTTTTTTGCCATCTACGAATAAATGATATGCCCCACATGGCTAAAGTTCTTTTACAGATCAAACTCTATCATAATAGGTTGAATTACAATATACTTCCAACGATAGGCCATCAGCAGTGGCAGACAGAGAGG